AAGAAGAAGTCAGGATACAGCGGAAACCTAAAGACAATAGCGGAGCCAATTGATGCTCGATCAATGTCCTTCATCGGGACCCACGAGTATTTAGCCCCAGAAATCGTGACAGGAGAAGGCCATCGCAATGCAGTGGATTGGTGGACATTAGGGATCTTTATTTACGAACTCTTCTATGGGATGACACCATTTAAGGAAGCCAACAATGAATTAACCCTAGCAAACATTGTGGCTCTGGGGCTCGAATTCCCCAAGGAGCCAGTGGTGGCACCCTCGGCTAAGAATTTGATAAGCCAACTCTTGAACAGGGATCCCAACAAGAGAATGGGGTTTATGATGGGTGCTGCGGCAATCAAGCACCACCCTTTCTTTCATGGGGTGAATTGGGCAGTTTTGAGATGCACAAAACCACCATATATCCCCCGACCCTTCAATTTTAGGGGCATTGTTTCATCTAATTATGAAAATTGTGATGTTAATGTAGATTATTATTAGCTCAAGTATGCATTTATTATTGTTTCATTGGGTGAATTGGGCACTTTATGTATTCATCTTTACTTGCAATGGTTATTTTTATATAGTTTGACGCTACTAGTCGAGGTGGATAAAAGAACTGAAATCAAGCAAATCGAATAACAACCAAGAATCGATTTTGACCCTTCATTTTTTTAAAAAAATATTGAGGCTAGTGCACATGGACCAACTAATCCATTTTAATTTTTTTTTTAAAACATTACAATAAATTCAATTTAAAGCACACAACTTGACATCTTCTACATTTCTTCAAACTTCAAAGCCTGATTTTGTCTTCCAAATTTTCATTTTTTTGTCCTTTGCATTGAACGAGGTTTTTTTTTAAATTTATTTTTTATTTTTTGAATGGATGAGCATAAATTTGCATTTGTATTTAAAAATTGGAAAATGTTTCTTATATATAATTATTTACATAATGATGTGGTGTCATAATGTTTTACTTAAAAAATTTGGTGGAACCAGTTTTCGCATTAGATAATTACTAGTTCTCGGTTCGATTTGGTCCTTCTCAGAATCAAACCGATCGAGTTATGTCTATCTCGAACTACTAGAAATACCGATTACTACAATTCTCGACATTTTCAAGATATGTACACTACTATTCCACTGGAATAAACTTTACAAAAAATTCTGAATAGTTTTAGCCCTTGTTTAAGCCATATTTTTTTCCATCAAAATGCATTTTCCTACGATGATTTGACCCCACTGGCGGATGTGGCAGGGGCCCTGCCCCAGCCCAAATGAAAAGCCTAATGTAAAGAAATAAAAAATGGGAAAAAATTCATTTATCTTATTTCATCTTTACCCTATTTCAAA